AAAGTACAGGAGGTGAGGCTGGAAAGGATGTTGAAGGACCTTGTTTGTATTCCATGCTAATGCACTTAGAATTTAGCTAAGAAGCTGGGAGGGTGTTGTTAAAATATATTAGTAAAAGGAGTGCACATTTGCTTTTAGAACAGTTATTTTGGGAACTGTGTAAAAGACTCTGGGGCTGGAGAAACGTTAAAGATGGAAGCAGGGAACCAATTATCAGCAGGAGAGTGTGGCATAGCAAGAGTTGAAGGGAGAATGGATGAGTGAGTGTATCATTCATTCATTCAACACATACTGGTTATAGGACCTATTTAATAGGTTGAGCCTACCAAGATTTCTCCATGACTAAAAAGAGGGAAGAATCCAGCATGATTCCTTGGCCCAAGTCTGGTGACTGATCTAGATAATACAAAATAGAATAGGGAGGTAAGGATTTGAAAAAATGGTACTGTAACCAGCTCCAGTTTTTGGCGTAGGGGAACAGGACAGAAGGCAGGGATGCTCCTGCTTGCTGGTAGGCCTTGGACTGGGAGAACTTAGGCTGCTTAATTTGCATTTCATTTCTTCCCGGGCTTCTCTCCTTTGTTTACGAACTGGTTCTTTGTCCCCTGCATTCCTTTGGGCCCTGATAGTTAGTTTACTTAAGTTAATTATTTGGGCTCTTTGTCAGCTCACTTAAGCCCTGACTTTGGGTTTATTTAAGGTTAGCTATTCAAGACTTGTTTTAACTTCTATCTCCTGGCTTCAGTAGGGAGGCGGGTGAGTAGGTTTTTGGATGTTTTGACTTTGAAGTTGCCTTAGTACTGCACAACACACAGTTGATTGTCCAAGGTCTGCAGTTTAGAAGAAAGGTGGGGCCTGGTTCAGCAAATGAAACAGTCCACAGATAGTTAAAACCATGGGAAAGAAGACTACTTGGTCACAGGGTGCTGACTATGAAGCCCTTCGGAACACAGATTCATTAGGAGCTGAGGGAGTAGACTTCAAGAAAGCAAGCCAGGGAGGTGGGTGGAAAAGAAGGAGGAAATTCCTCATCAAGAGCAACCATAGAGGCCAAGGAACAAGAACAAGATAGGATGGGGTGCTGCCTACTGATCCAAGAACTGTGGAAACATCAGGTCAGAAAGGGAACCATGCACGTTGGTTTTTTACAAGGCATTGTTGGTAATTTGGGTGAGAGCTGGAGTCGTGAAGTAAAAGGGGAAGTAGGTGGAGGTCAGGTACAGAGATTGAAGGAGTGCCCTGCTGTTAAAGAAATGCACATAGACTGTTACCTGAGGATGTGAGGAAAGCGAGACTAACATGAAAATTTTTAAAGTTGATCAGTGCTCAAGAATTTTTAAAAGACTTTTTAGAAATGCCTCACGAAGGGAATAAGGGGAGTAGAAAATGATAATAAGTTTTCAAAAGTGCTTGCGATAGATGGATTGGCAGCAGAAATGGAAACTAGCTTTCAAGTGAAGGGATTCATCTATGAAAAAGAAGGGAGTGGGAGTGAAAGAGGTGTAGATAGTCAGGTTGCAAGTAAGTTTGTAGGTGCGAAGCAAAGGACTCAAGTAGGGAGAGAAGACTTTGAAAAGTGTGGGATAAGTGGCAAAGGGAGAGGGCTTAATAGTTGTTAAAAAGGAGAGAATATTTTAATATTTTAATGGAACTTGTGAAAAGATAAAAAATTAAAGCTGGGTAGGAACTATGACAATCTTCTGTTGTTCCCTAACAGCTACATAGATTTTTATTAGGAATATGTAAGATCAGCTACTCTTCTGCCCATGTACTTTTTCATACACTTCTGCCCTTGTAGTAGTTCATACTACTTGTCATACTCTATATGAAAATTATAAGTTCCTCCTAAAGATAATTCCTATATTTTTGTCATCATTGCATCTCCTTGTCTTATCACAGTGTTTTCTATCAAGTTAATTCCTAACTTATGTTGGTTGCATATTTAAAATTTCTGAGCTGGACTTGCGTGCCCTGACTTCAGGGACCAAGCCTTCTTTGCAATTTCATGGGCATTGTCAGGACTTCAAGCTGAGATGGTTTTGTTGGTGGTCTGTTTTCATTGAAGTCATAAGGTCCAATAAAAGTGTTGGCATATGATATAATTTTTTCCTATTTTATTTGCTAATTTATCTGTAAGTCTGGCATCACTCTCGGTTAAATTCATCTAATATCTGATTTAGATTGCCATATCTTGTTTACTCAGGGTTTTGTTATTCATGTTCCTTTATTTGCTCCTTACATTTTCCATCTTTTATTCACTTTGCTCTTCATCAGAAGGCAACAGACTGGGCCAGGGATTTAGCTCAGTGGTTTTGCTGCCTGCTGCGCAAGCGCAAGGACCCCAGTTTGATCCCTGGCACCAAAAAAAAAAGAAGGCTGCGACAGACAAAAGAAAAAAAGCCCAGATCAGATAATTTTACCTCTTACTAGTTTTTTATACATATTTACAGAGGATGGAGTTATAATTAACATCTTGAGTGATATTTTTAGGACCATCTTTATTTATTAATTATTATTGCAAAGGTTATTCAAATCATAGATTATCTGAGTCAGTTTTATTTTAAATTTTACTGACAGCATTTAGTCTCATTAAATTGCTTATGTTATGAAATATTTTTATTAAAAGAAATACTGCAGTAAAATTAGTGCTTTCTGTGTTCTTTAGAAAATTTATTTTCTGAATGTAAGGTATGAAATTACTTTTTTCTAATCAGTTCTTACTTAGCTAGAGCCTTCTCAGAAATTTTATAAGATAACTCAATTTCTCACTTGTATCTTTTAACTAAAGAAAAATTGTTAAAACACTCTTATAAATATAATTTTTAAAAGATTCATACAAATATAAAGTGGACACATGTCAAAATTTTTATTTCACTCATTAATTAAAGAGCAAATCAGCATGAAGGCAAAATCCAATTAAAGGAAAATTGGAAGAGCAGACACATTTTAGGCAAGCAGGAATGTTGAAATGAATTTGCTAGTAGATGCAAAATCGGTCAGTGCACTCAAGTTAGTAAAATATGATTTTTTTGAATCCTGTCTTCCTCCAGATGGAAGTAGCAAAAACAAAATTTATTTGTATTTCTTTGGACACCAATCATTTGCATTATCATCAGTTATCCACACCATTTACAAAATTGTAAAAATAACCCAGTCAGTAGCAGGCACAGATAATCCAAAGGGTATGTTACTGCTTAACACTCTGCCAAAAGATACCAAAATCCATCAGAATCATGCTTTTTTCTAACACTTGCCTTCCTTTGTATTTCTAATGTCAGCACTCCTTTGTTCTCTCCTTGTTCACTATAGTTTCTCCCCCTTAGTGCTTCTCTCTCAGGGGAAATAATTCACGACTCCCAGGTTTTAAAGAATGCAGTTGGAAGTCCAGGTTTTGCCTGGGCCTTCCTAATATTTGGGTAGAAATGTAGAGAGCTGGGAAGAGGTGAGGATGCCCACAAACCTGATGTAGATGGCAGATTCCCAGAAGCATAACCATCTGAAGCAGGTAGAGGAGGCCCAGGTTATTACATTAAAATGCTACATGGTCTAGTTTTTATAACAGGGCCCTATATTTTTGTAATACATTGTTTAGGAAGCATTTGCCTGTTTTCTTCTTGTGATGCTTACCACAGTGCTATGAAGTTACTTAGTGGTCATATTTGATCCTCTTACTTAGAGAGTAAACCAAAGCAAGGCAAAGTGAGTTCTTAAGGTTGCATACCAAAAGGTACTCAGATTTTTGAACACCCTCGGGGTCGTAGTCCACTGTGCATCCTTGTATTCAATTCAATAGGTATTTATTGAATAATTATGTTCTTTGAATAATACTATTCTCATGATTAATTTTTTTATTCCAACTAATATAGATGGAAGAAACCTTAAGGATGAACTACTAACAAACTTGATATTTTATTTGTATTTGTTAGTGCTCTTAGTTTTGAGGGAAAAGTAAACTGCTATCTATCTACTTAGATAAAAGAGTTGATAAATGGGCAAGGATTGTGGAAGACAGCTTCTCTTCCTCTATCCATGTACAGTTTAGTTTAATAGCAAATACTTGCATTCACTTAGCACTATGCATTGCATTAATTGTGCATTGACTGCATTAATTTGCTTGTGTATTGCAGCTAATTGTACTTTATATCAGTAAGAAGAGTTGAGAGAATGTACCCTATTTGTTAGCAGTATCTGCTCTGGCTTTCAACTTGTTTCTTGGCTTATTGAGTGGCTTATGGTTTCTTAGAAGAAGAAATACCTGTAGTGTACATTTGGAAATTGTTGTTCTGTAGATTGAATGAAATGTGGAGGTGGGAAAATGCCATTCAGTTGTATATAATCCTTTGTAAGAGTTGCATGCAAAGTATCTATTGCTGTCTATATTTTGTAATGGAAAAATAACCACAGAAAATGTTTTTCTTATTGTTATTCAAAGACTTTTCATCCTAGTAGAAAGATAGGATTTGAGTCATCCGATTTACTTTGTATGTTAAAAGTGCAGTAAAACCAGCCTCTTTTTTGGAAATGCTGCACAAGGGCAGAGATAATTTTGTATCAGTTTAGCACATTCTATTTAGAAATGTATAAAACTTGAGACTGAATATAATATTTGGTTTGATTTTCTGTTCAGAATTTTGCCATGGTAAGGACAATATTTTTCTACATATAACACTAGGCTGAAATGATTTCTTCAAAACTTTCCATATCTACGTACTATACCCACATGTTCCAATACAATTACTGAATTCATTCCCAAGTTGTATGGTAATGATGATAATATATCCTCTGTGTTATTCCAAATGAATAAAGCAAAGTTATACCGTTGTCTCTCAGCTGTGCAAGTAAATAGTAAAAGTTTTTTTTCCTGTTTTTCACTTACCTGGTCTTCTCTATTGCTTACTGCTTGTAAATGAACAATTCAAGCATTTTTCTGCAACTTAAGGTTATAACATACCTAAGATGTATAGCATACAATTTCATAACTAAATATTTTTCTTTTCTAGGTTCAGCTCAACTCCTATTAAATAAGACCAAATTTGTAGAATACACCATTTGTAATGAAACTGTTGTCATCCCATGCTTTGTTATTAATGTCGGGGCGCAAAGCACAAAGGAAGTGTTTGTAAAGTGGAAATTTAATGGAACATATATTTTCATCTATGATGGAAATAAAAACATTTCTACTGCAAACCTGAACTTTTCAAGTGCAAAAATCGCAGTCTCAAAATTACTAAAAGGAGACGCCTCTTTGAAGATGAGTAAGGATGATGTGAAAGTAGGAAACTACACATGTGAAGTAACAGAATTAACCAGAGAAGGAGAAACAATCATAGAAGTAAAGTATCGTATGGGTAAGTGTTGTAGTTTGAATATAGTCTGTATCCTTTGAAACTCATGTTGGAACTTGATTGCCATTGTGGGATGTTAGGAAGTAGAGCCTTTAATGAGTGATTAGGTCAGTAAGAAGGATTATGGGCTTTCTTGAGAGAGTGGGTTAGTCATGTAGAGAGTGGGTTGCTATAAAGCCAATCTGCTCCTTGTGCTTTTGCTCTCTCACACATGTTCACTTTCCATTCCATCCTTCCACCATTTTATGAAACAATGCAAGATCCTCATAAGAACCTGAGCAGATGCCAACACCATGCTCTTAGGATTATCAGCCACAGAAGCATAAAGTGAAATAAAGCTCTTTTCTTTATAGAATACCCAGTCTCAGGTATTCTGTTATAGCTATAGAAAACAGAGTAGGGAGTAAAACTTCTATAAAAGATGCTTTTTTTTTTCCTGCTATACCTGACCATATTAGGTAGTGGGCAAAATAGGGCTAGGAATCCCTTTGAGCGAAAAAAGCAGGCAATAATAATAAATGTTGATATAATGTTTAGCAGCTTTAAGATCATGACTTCCAACTTAATTCTTCTCCTAATTGCAGTAAAACTCATTGCTGTTTGTTCATTTGAATATTGTGTGGTTCTCCAACTTTCGGTCTGAGGACTGAGGTATTCTATTTGGGTGATTGATCTTGAGGTTGACTATTCTGCATTTGTCTCTGCTGTCATTAAAAGTACTTTCTTTAATGTGATTAATTTTTGAGCCTACTTCTAATTACTTAACCTATTTTTGTTTGTTTAGTTTGTAATTACTTTGGCCAACATTTGGCAAAAACTAACCGTGCTCCCTCTGTAAAGAAAGAAGAATCAGGAGATTAAAGATCAGGTTATCATGGATGATTCCTCCAGGTTTTCTATATTTTTTTCTTGCTTTTCCTTGCTTTTTCTTGTTCTTTTCCTTGGGCAGAATGTGGGGGAACTCGGGATCCAACTTAACTGAATTGAATTCAGGCTTGTTTATAGTGCCTTGACTTGTCCTGTCTTCACGGACTCGTGGTGGTGAGTTGTGCCCACCTAAACAGTCTCCTTTTCTGTTTCTTTTTTTTTTTGGTACCGGGGATCGAACTTGGGACCTTGCACTTGTGAGGCAGGCGCCAGAACCACTGAGCTAAATCCCCGGCCCCTCCTTTTCTGTTTCTTGCTGTGCTAGAGGATTTCATAGACCACATTGGAAATCATTCTAACTTTCTGTTTTGACCTTGGCATTGACTAGACTTCTAGACTTTGAGAACCTCTGTTCTAGATACGATGAAAGTTCAGTTGAATTAACTAGTTTCCTTCCTTTCTTCTAGCTTTTCCTGTTATAAAATGTATGTTACCAAACTGGGAATGGGTGTTTAGTTTGATGAAATATTTTGACGTTGCTTAGGATTTGACATCAGGAGACGTGGATTACATACTCTATTCAGCAACTTAGTATTCATTTATTTGACTTGGAGATGTTACTTTACTGAGTCCATGTTGCCTCTTCCCTAAAGTGGGGATGAAACTACATACTTGCTGTCAGGTGTTCTACAGAATCTAATGAACGTCAAATGAGAATCCATATATAGGTCTCTGAAAACTCACATGTGTTGCAGATGTTACTTGTTTTCCTGGGATGTTTATTTTCTGAGATAACCAGTTACTAAAACCTGCCTGGAGTGTTGTGAGAGAGATTTATGTACAAGGAGGAATGGGTGGGTGGCTCAGAAATCTCACTTTATAATTATTTTCCATTGCTATTAATTGGGGCTAAGGAGCTTCCTTTTTAAGTGTGCACATTTCAGGAGTGTTCTAATTAATCATGTGCACTGTGAGTGAGTGGAGGGAGAGAATAATGCCTAGTTGAGATTTTTCCAAGGGAATGTATAGTTTTGTGGGAATGAGAAAACCAGCCATGGGGAGCAGTAATTTTGGATGTAATGTAGGTCACTGAGAGGAAAATTGATAAATGTAAGCTATGAGACTTAAAAGGACAGATGATGCAATGAAGATGAAAGGGAAAGTAATGCCAGTTTCTGAGATGAAGACAAAGTTTATAATTTTGTCTGTGATTGCTTTATCTTCCTTTGTTTTTGAAATACTCTATAGAAATATGAGGTAGTCTTACTTTTGGGGCCATTAAAATGAGAAAGTATTATTTTGTTATAGTGAATGTGGAAAATTGTACCAGAGGCTTGATACATTTGGGTTTGTACTCAGTTTTTATTTTTTGAAATAATTACTGATTCACAGGAAGATTCAAAGATGGGTTTTTGTGCCCTTCATCCCGTCTCCCAATGTTTACATGTCATATGACTGTAGCAGAGTTTCAAGATCAAGTATTTCATAATGGTCTAGTGTGTTTGAATGATTCTCTATCATTTCACCATGTGTATATTTGTGTAACTATCACCACAACCAGGATACAGACCTATTCTGTCAACACAGATATCTCCCTCATAGTCACAAACCCCACCTCCAGCTGTTCCTAACCTGGAAAACACTGATTTGTCCTCCTTATCCAAAGTTTTGTCATTTAAATAATGTTATATAAACGAAATCATGCAATAGGTGACTTTTTGAGATTAAGTTTTTCATTCAGTACCCAAGTTGTTGAATGTGTAGCTATTAGTTTGTTTTTATACATTGATTTTTAAAAAATTGAGTAATAGTCCATGTAAGGGTTTATCAAAACTTGTTGAACCATTCATGTATTTAAGGACATTTTAGTTATTTCAAGTTTTATACTAGTATAAATGAAGCTACTGTGAACAGTTGTGTATCGGTTCTTATTTAGATATACTTACCATTTCTCTGGAATCATTTGACTTGCATTACATCGTAAGTGTGTACTTAGTTTTTAAAGAAACTGCAATTTTCCAGGGTGGCTCTTCCATTTTACATTTTTTGTGTGTGTGTATCCTTTTATTGGTACATTCTAGGTGTACAATATAAAGACATTCATCATTGGAGATATGTACCTTTACATACTCCCTTGATTCTTATTTTTCCCCCTTCCCCT